CAGAGCAGAAGAGATGAGCAAAGAGCAGGGGAAAAAAAAGCCTTTTGATGTTGCTAAAGAGGTTATTTGCATGCAAAGTTGTCTTGCTCTACCCCCTGGATTCCGATCAAGTTTTTTGGCCTGGAAACTCGTATTTCAGGAGGAACTGCATTGTTAGAGGGTGAGCTGCTAAGGAAGACTCCCTGATTTCTGATGAGTTATTTTTAAGGAAACATCTGATGCAGGTATCAACCAGTGAGGTCATAGCTTGGAGCTGAATTCCCTTAATTACAGCCTTCCCATCAAAATGAGTATATGAACCAATAGCAGAGGCATTGGTTGCATCCCTGGTTTATTGTTGTCAGTCTGATCTTGCCCTTGACTAAGCGTAGCAGGCAATTCCATGCCAATCCCACCTGGCTTCTAACTCCCGTATTGCCATACGTGGCGTTGCTAAATCCATCAAATGCAACTCCTGTGACTTAGTGATTTTATATACCACACCCCCGCAGCCCCCGCACCAGAGAGAAAGAAATACCCGACACACTTGCATCCTGTGGCTGATTGCAAGAGCTGACTGAAGCTTCTCCCACGGTGGTGACAACCAGGCATGTTCCATCCCTGATATCTGATAGAGTCAGCTCACACTTGCGATGTCCCCTCCTTTTGGGACCTCTTCCCTGTCGTGTCTCCTCTCTTCCCAGAACTGAGAACAGCCTCTCTTGAAGATCTCTTATCAGATCTGACAAAAGTGGCCCATGGGGTCAAATATTTTTTGGGATGAAGGGGGACACATATTCACACGTGTATGTGGTCACATTAGCCCTGTCCTTTCCGAAATCAAGCTGACAGGGGAAGGTAAAGCTGTGACCCAAAGTGCCTTTTGCTTTGGACTGCACCACCCCCTCTGCTGTGGCGTTAATTTATGAGGTTGCACCATGACCAAAAAGATTATTGTAACCCCAGATCCCTTCCATAAAAATGTGCTCCCTCCCTAACACCTCTCTGTGCACAGTGGGGAACTGCGTTCTGCACGGATGTCAGCAACGCTCACCCACAAAGGCTTGGAAATAATTTTAGATGCAGTTTAAGTGACAATAACCACATCACCATTAGGACTCCCCAGCTACGAGCAAGACCTCAGGGTGCTGGAGAAGGTCCAGCAAAGGGAAGAGCCCCACAGTGCCCCTGGACACCGGAGGGAGCCGGTGGAGCAGCCTGGGAGGGGACGGGGACACGAATTCCCCCAGCACCTGCAGGCAGCCAGCACTGCAAACACAGCAACACTCGTCCCACTCAGCCGTCACCTCGGCTTCTGCAGTCAGCCTCATGTTCACACATTGCATGAATAGCTATTAACTGGCATCAGCAAGTAAATTTACTAAATAAAGGCCCAATCCTGCCCTCCTTGTCTTGCACAGAGTGCCTTTTGCCTGCATAATATATAACAGCAGTAGAAGTTGCTCCCAGATCGCTGATAAATCAGCACACGTTTCATTTCCTACATCAAAACCCACTGCCACACGATTTGGATTATCAAGTGCTCCTGTTGTAAAGGGGAGGATGTGGGGTTTGGGTGGCACAGCCTCTCCCCGCCGGTGACCCGCAGCTCTGTGGCTGATGAGCAGACCCGATTAAAATCAAATGATTCACAAACCACTTGAAGATTACATTTGTTGGAGAAAACGGTTGTACATAGGGTCAGGTGCGGAGTGAAGGAGCCATGTGGTGCTAGCAATGCTGCAGCTTGATGGTCTCAGGGCAATTTCTGTAGCAACAGGTAATATATTTTATGTGGAAAAAAAATAAAGCAAATTTTCAGATGTTGAAGTCCTGCGGATCTTGCACCTATATATATAGCCTTAACACAGATACCGTTTCCACCCAGAAGTGTGGGCTTGCTGAAGAAAAGCTGTTGCATTTACTGTTGGCTTTACTTATCTCTGCTGACCTACAGCGAAGTCCAGCCAATGGCTCCTGCTGCAGTGAAAGGGCTTTTGTGTCGGCAGCAGGTTTCTGTGTACACACAGCCACCGCGCACAAACACAGGAAGGGAAGACGTCGGCAGGGGAGGGTGGGGATGGAGGCAAAACACGCTGGTGTGCGACACGCTCCGAAACGTTCACACGCTAATATTAGCAAGAGAGGCTTCGGCTGCGGTGGGATGGGGATGGGAGAGCTACAGCCCGTGATCTAGAGTGTGGGCTGAACCACGTGGCCATGATGAGCAAGGCTTGCCAATTAATAGCCACAAAATAAAAGGGTGTCAAACCAATGTCAGAGGAAGAGCCCAGGGGCTGGAGCTGACTTTCTCAGGGCTGGAATTCAGTGCAGAGCCTTAAATCACAGGAGCTGCTTCGGGTGAAACTGTGTCCTGGATCTCCAATCTCCTTTTGCACAACACTTTACAGCACAAGAGTGCCCTTGTCATTACACACTCTTTTGTTGATATTTCTTCTTAAAAAGTCCTTTTGCCTGGAGCCTGGCCTTTCGCACTACAACTCTGAAGTCAGGAAGGTCCATTAGGGAAACGTGGCGTGACCTTCAGCAGAGAGCATGCCTTTGCCCGGCGAGTGCGTGATGCAGGAAACCCCGCACCCACTGCAGAACTTCCATTAGGATAAATCCATCTTCCCTAGACCTCTACATGTTTCCCAACCTCGTCCTCCAGTCCTACAGCCTACTGCACGCAGCCATAGTTCTAAGCAGAGGATAATAACCACCGGTGCTTGAAGCAACAGGACACTTTTGGAAATGTTTCCCTGCTGTGTTAACTGCAGTTACAGTCTCTTTTAGTAAGAGGAGGGATCTTCAGGAGTACAAACGCTGCTTGGGATTTAATTTCTCTTGATTCCTTTTAAATTCTGTTCCGCCGCTCCCTGCACACGTGCGAAGCCCCGAGCTTTGCGGGGTGCCCAACCTGCTCAGCGCACA